AAATTTGAATTCTGATTAGATTTCGTATGGCAAAGAGAGAGACTGATATGAGCTGCTTTCCGATATCGATTGCCTAATATGGCCAAGAAAACAAAAAGTATTAATGGACTCGAGTGAAACGCAAATATAACTCACGTGAGAATTGACGCTCGGCTAGGAATTTAAAGTGAGTTCAATAGAAACTAATTGAATAGAAACTGTAAGCGACAAAGGTAAGTTATGGAATGATATATAATGATATATAAAATATTTAAAAATATTTACAATATAAATTATATATGAGAGAGAATGCATACTATGTCTGTTTCAATGGATATCTATGTATAGAAACAAGTATATTCACAGCCAGGGGCGTAGCGAGACAGTCGATAAGGGGGGTGATTCTAATTGAATTGTCAAGTATGGCAGATGTTACAAATAAATTAATATAGGCTATTGGGTTAGTCATTATTCTGTTTTCTCTGTGCACTGATGGCTTACTGATATTACAGAATTAAATAATTCGGTAATTGATATTACAGAAAAAATAAAATTAAATTTATAAAAAAAAAAGTAAATAAATACAAAGAAAGGTCAACAAAGTTGCCGACTCTGAAATAACTTGGGAAGGTCTCACTACTGCTCCCAGCGAATAGATATTTACATCCTTAGCAAATGATTAGTCTGACTTGATTGCTTAACGATAAAGAGTACAGGCAGTACAGGAAATACTAACTGATGAGCTTTATAAATAATATATATAAATAATAATATATGAAGACTACAGGCAGCAAAAATAGTAAATGATTAGTTCTGTAAAAAAATATATATAAATAATAATAATAGATATAAATTTGCGTTGGCAAAAGTCATATATCGATCTCCAATAGACTAATCACTGCTGCCCCCTTAATATATACCAAAAATATTAATAACAAAATCCTCACACCCACATATGTAGATCCATTAGTCTCTGCTATGCTCTTAAAGGAGTACCTCAAAGTCCTTTTCCTCTACTATTTAGTAGAACTACCCAAATGTTTATTCCCATTTGATTCCTCTTAATTATTCCTCATGTTATTTCATAAACTACATCTTTAAGGGCCTTGAGAGCTGAATGGAGATGCTGTTGTCGCAGCATCAGCCTGACTCTATAACAGACTTAATGGGCTTCTAAGACCTAGATAACGCTCAAATAGCAATAATCAGACTTTGTTACTGAAGATTTATACAGATTTGTCTCGTCCTGCTCAAATCTCATGTGACAACAATCGAGTTGCTTGGCGTCTCGGGTGATCTGTCTCCCCTATATCCCTCCCTTCCCCCCATACCCCCTCTCGGCCTTTTGCAACACATTCCCGCAATAGTTGAAAACTGTGTTAGCGATAAGAAAATGTCAGCGTTGGCCGGCAGGGCTGGCCCACCAGCAAGCTTCAATTAAATAGCCAGCCAAGGGTCACAACTGATACCAAATACGCTCCGAAAAGGTGCATAGATGGTGCCGCCAGCGACCTGGCTACCGATTGATCCCACCAAACCGACAGAAGCTGGCCAAGCGAGGGCCACTCACACGGGCTGCTCTTGTCGCCAGAGTCAGCGGCTCAGTTGAATGAGCTTATCCATCATCGGGACGCGGTCTCCTCATCTGTCACGGAGCTAATAGGTTTCATTAGTCATCGGGCAGCCGATCGCTCAGATTGCTGCTGCTGCTGCTTCTGTTGTTGTTGTTGCTGTTGTTGTTCTCCTCTTATTATCAGCTGCTCGCTGCGGTCATTTCTCAAAGCCGAACCACCAAAAATATTGCCGAGCTCTGCTACTCTGCGCTCGTTCGCTGTTTGCGTGTCGACAGCAATTTTCACCTTAATTATTTCTTTTTTGGGGGGTAGGGGTGGGGGGATTCCTCAGGAGCAGGCAGAGGCAGAGGCAAAGGCAGAGGACCTGATGTGCTGTCCAGCACGCGCTAATGTTTAATATCCGCCATGGTGCGCTCTTCGCTCAGACAGTTATGCAAATTTGCTGTCAGTGGGCGGGGGCGGGGACGGAGGCGGTGGCGGTTGCCGAAGCGAAGCACAGCTAACTGCGAGGGCAGTTTGACCAAAGCGTGTCCTCGTAAATTATCAAGCCGAAAGAAGAATGTGTCCGTGTATGTGTGTGTGTGTGTGTGTGTGTGTGTTTGTGTGTTTGTTTGCTAGTTTGTTAGTTTCATTTGGGCCAACGTCCTTTCGTGTCTGCTTTGCCATGGCCTGTTTCTTTTTTTGCTGCTTCCCTTTTCATTTCATTCTTTCGTTCTGCTCATGTAGTCCTGCCGCAGATTAGGCTGTTGCAACCACCCCCCCCCATACCCCTCCATCAATATTGGCGCCAACTACAGGCACAAGTCCGACCCGAGCTGCCATAAAATGTTCAATTAGTTAATGAAAAATTTTCCAATTGGATATCAACATTGACTTCAACTAACGACCGCAACGAGGACGAGCACGATTAGACGGACAGAGAGAGAGAGAGAGGAGGAGCCGCGGGGAGGTGGAGTGAGTGGAAGGGCGGAATGGGGCTCTGCAAAGCGTTGCGTTGGTGTCGCTTGAAAATGTCCGTAGGTTGAATTTATGCATGTGATTTATGCACGACAGCGATTGCCAATTACAATATCATTTCTCTTCTTGTCTCCTTGGCTTAGCCAGACCCGACTCGTGCGACTGCCATCGATGAGTGTGTGTGTGTGCGTGTGTGTGTGTGCAAAGTGCCATTAAAAAATGTGTCAAAACAGTTGAAGAATTATATAATTTAAATACAAAGCGAAAAAGAAACCTGCAACGGCAGCGCGAAATAAATGAAAGCGAGAATTGAAGATTGAATTGAAAAATGTAAAGAACTTCAAGGGGTACTAAATGATATACATATGATACAGTCGAGTCCCGATAATTCGAAATGGCTAGGACTAAATGTTTATTTTTTTTTTATTTATTTATTTTTTTTTTTATTTTTTTTTTTTTATTTATTTTTTTTTTTTTCCAATGGGATAGAATTTTATTCAATTTATGTCGATTTTGTATTTAGCGGGGTAAATTATAGCAATATATATATGTATATTTATAAAACATACATTTATAAACAAACTCATTCAATTATTTTATAAGTGAAATAAAAGATGATAATAATAATAATAAAAAAAAAAAAAAAAAAAACTAAATAAATAAAGAATTTCAAGAGCTACTATCGTATCTAAACAAATATAAAATAATCAAAAGTTTATTTAGTATGTTCAGAAATACGCGAACCTTCTTTTTGTTAAATATTTTCGAATTGGAGCGGAACTGTTGGAAGCTAGGCAAAAAAAGGAAAGAAGAAGAAGCTTATTCAAGTGCTATTCAGAGTTGATGCTAAAAAGTCAATAACTATATGAGTGTATGTGTGTGTGTGTTTGTGTGTGTGCGTTACTCTGTTTTTCTTTCTCAGCAAACAGAAATTAAAGCCAAGCTGGAAAACACAAACGGCCAGCGAACAGGAAAAACCGACGCATGACACAAATTTACAAAAGGTGGAAGCAAAAAAACGAAAAAAACAGAAACAAAAACAAAAGCGACAAAAATCGACATGGAAATGAAATCGAATGAAGGGAAATGAGGGGACAAAAACTAAGAGTCGAGAATATGAGCATACATAGCAACAACAACAACAACAACAATGGCAACAACAACAACAACAACAACTAGTTCGATGCTTGACCGAGCACAGCGCATCAACTCGATCAGGGCCAGACCGAGGGGAGGGCAGAGGTCGCCGGAGAGGGGCTGTTAGTAGGGCCGCGTTTTACGCATTTGCCAAAGAATGAATGAAAAGTGGGAAAACAAAAGAAAAGCTAAGCGAGCGCAAAGTGCGGGAGTTTCCTGTGCGCTATGGAGCTCTAATGAAGCCTGAAATCGATTTGTGGAACCAGTTCAAACAAACCAGCTCACAATAGTTGCAGCGAATTAGAACGCAACGAGACGAGTCAAGTCGAATCGAATCGAGTCGAGTCGAGTTGAGTCCAGTCGAGCTGCCACCCACCCACACTCTCTGAGGGAATGGACTCCTCTGGGGAATGCTTGGCCTGGCAGCTGTTGCCAACTGTTGGAAATCCTCAAATTTACAGCCAGAACAGGCAACAGAGCTTGGCATCTTTTTATTGTAAAATTTACGATCACCATGGTTGTTGTTGCTTACCGCTTTGTATTGTGTTGTTGCTGTTGTTGCTGCTGCTGCTGCTGCTGTCATAGGGACTCCTGCTCAGCTCAGGCTCGCAGCCGAAGGTGTCAAGTGTTTTGTGTGTGCGGTTAGCTTCTTGGGCATTTGGCCTGGCTTAGTCTGGCTTGGCCTGCTCTGGCCTGGACCGCAAACGGCGTGTCGCTGCGTGTGTCTCTCAAATTGCGTCAGAAATTATCGCCATTAAATGTAGATGAGCGTTTTGTTGTTAACTTATTGGCCCATAAATAACTATGGCTGAGTCCCTCAACAACAACAACAACAGCAACAGCCACAACAAGTGCAACTGCAACTCCAGCTGAACTTCATTCATAAAACGCTTGAGATGAAATTTATGCTGGAAATTTCATTTGCGCACAGCTAGAAAAGCCAAATGGAAATTTAACTTGCGGTTGTTGTCATACAATTTGTCAGGTGAAATTACGTTTTTAATACCTTGTACCTTTTAATAGCGGCGGAAAAACTGCATTGGAAATTCCTTAGACAAACCCACAAAGTGCTAGGAGTGTTTAGGTTTTTAATATGTCAAATTGAGATATTAAGATATTTATGCCAAATAAATACAGCAAAACTGTATTTGTAAGAATAATTTAATTTATAAGCTACTTCTCCACTACGATTTTTACATGGAATATTTAGAGCTATTTGTTAAATTTAATAAATTATTCAATGCCAATTTCACGCTGCAAAATTTACATATTAAAAATAAATTAAATATATCATTTTTGAATTCATTCATAACATTTAAATATTCCTGTTTGCCCATTTACCAGCTATATAAATTAAGTCTTGGCCAACTTTATGAAATCTTCTCATACTAAATATTTAACGCAATCAGCTTTTAACACTTACAGCCTTGAGAAATGTAGTCAGGCAAAAGCTGTCTGTTATGTGAGCGCCATCTATAGTTCACATTTTAAATCCGCTCTAGTTGCCATCGCGCCTTAGTCAAACTTGGCATTCACACCCTGGCCAAAAGGTGGCGCTGCATTCGTTTCCAAATAGTAATGAGAGATGGCGCTGGTAAAAATTTCGATTTAAATCAAAGCTTTTAGCTGCACTTGGAGTTTATTCACCTGTGTGTCACCTGCTCACCCATGTAAACCACCTGACTATCATCCATATTGGCAATGGCCTCGGCGAGTGACGCATTGCTCAAATGAAATACCGATAAGTGATCCAAGCAGCTGCGGCTGCTTCTAATCACCTTCCAGCTGCAGGGAATGGCAGGGAAATTCCTGGGCAGTCCAATGGACTCGGCATAGAAGAACACGGCGCGATTGTGACTGCAGCTGTCTGCAATGCACACAGATTAGATACAGTTATGAGTGCCTCTAGCTATGGCTGCACGCACAGGCCTCCCGCAGTAGCTTACTCGCCGCCAGCAGATCCACCTCCTCGCAACCCGGCTGCGGGGCGCGTCCGTAGTTGACATAGAAGTCCACATGTCCACGCGGCGTCAGATCCCCAAAGAGCGGATAGTCTGTGTGTATAACGTCCACGAACTGCGCTGCACTCGCCTTCAGGCTGTCCTCGGAGCGGGCCGTGAAGAGCGGCAGAGCCGGATCGAGGCCCGTCACACGACCCAGAGTGCCATTGAAGTGGCGACCCATGCCGCCGGCTATATGAGCGCCCAAGCTGTGCCCAATGATGTGCACCGCCTCGCTGGAGACATTGTGCCGCGCCAGAAACTGCTCCAGCTGCTGGGCTAGCGCGAGAGCTACCTTGGATATGGCGCGACGCGAGCTGGGATAGTCCAGATTGGCGGCGGGCGACCAATCGGCAATGAGAAGGTGCTCAAAGCCCTGCGCACGATAGGCTAGAGGGCAGAGAGGGAGAGGGAGAGAGAGAGAGAGAGAAAGAAGGTGAGAGAGGGAGAGGGAGAGAGAGAGAGAAAGAAGGTGAGAGAGTAAGGGAGAGGGAGAGAAAGAGGGTGAGAGAGTAAGAGAGAGAGAGAGAGAGAGAGAGAGATAGCTTAGCATAGAGTTGCTTTAACAGAGTTGGCTTAACAGTGAGTTGGCTTAACAGAGAGTTGGCTTAACAGAGAATCAGATTACCAGTGAATTCGGTTCACAGATTTAGCCTAATAGAGTCAGCTAAACAAAGCAACAGAGTTACCACAACAGAATCTGTTTAACAGAGTTAGTTTAACAGATTTACTTAACACTGAGTTAGGCTCACAGAGTCCGCAAACAGAGATCGCTTCACTGAGTTAGCCTAACATCGGCTAACGTTAACAGAGTAAGCTTCACCGGATTAGCTCAGCAGAGTTCAGTCTCAGCATTCCGCTTACCATTTCGCAGCGGTTGGATGGAGCTGTGCGTGCGTGAGCCTAGGAATCCGTGCACGATCAGCTTGAGGGACTCCACAGCCGAGAGCTGCTCCACCTGGTCGAGCGTCAGCTCGCCCTGCGCTCGCTGATAGTAGATGCTGCTCTGGCTGGCCAGGGTGTCCAGGCTGAGCGCCTGCAGGCCCGGCATCTGGCAGAGGAAGGGCAGCCAGCAGTAGAGCATTCTTGCCATGTTGAAGCTGGAAATGGAACTGAGCCCAGTCGGAGCAGACTCTGCCGCTAAATAGCTAAATGGATCGCATGCTGCGAGCGCTGCGTTTGGCTAATCGCTGCTCGATTAGCTGACGCACAACCCGGGGACAGCTGGGCATCTGACTAAACGCACACGGCAACTTTATTAACTAGGGTACATTAGGTGATTTTCCATAAATAAGACACACGCAAGATGGGAGCGAGGGGCAGCGCAGCGGACTACGAGTTAGAGTTACAGTTAGATTCCCTGACGTATGGCAGCTGTGGCTAGCGGCAGGCAGCAGGCGGGAGGCGGGAGGCGGGGTCAGCGTCTGGCCTCGTCCTGGCCTATGGGCCGTATGAGCATCTTGATGCGGCGCAGCGAGTAGTCCTTGCCCTGGAACGTGTCCCAGTAGATGCCCGTCTCGCCGGCGCGCTGGTAGTCCTTGCTGTAGTGGACGCCCATCAGGTTGCTCGTGCCGCACGCGTTGAACCAGCCGCCGGCCTTGTGCCGCTGGGCGCAGCTGCACTCGAGGCAGTTGTCGTTGTCGCTGTCGAAGGTGCTGAACTTGGCCCCGGCGTGATAGGAGAGAGAGTCCCCTGCGGGCGGATGCAGGTGCTCCTGGTAGCGGCCCAGCAGACTCAGCGCATAGAGCTCCCGCTCGCCGCTGATGGCGAACGAATCGTAGCCGGCGACGGCCACGTTGTTCTCAAAGTCCTGCATCCAGATGCGCAGCTCGTGCAGCGAGGAGCTGGTCAGGGCGTGCAGCTTGTCCAGGCCGATGAAGAAGTCGCCGGCGATGTTGCCGAAGCCCTCCTTGTAGTCCAGCCAGCTGCGCTCGAAGCTGACGTCGTCCGAGCTGCGATTCATCACCACCGTCCAGCCGTCGTCCTGGCAGGGCACATAGAACGCGTCGCTCTGCGGCGTCAGCTGCAGCTTCAGGATCCCGTTCACGGCCAGGTAGGACTGCAGGCAACTGGTGGCATGCTCCTCCACGGGCGCCACACTCTGCGGCACGCCCTGAGCCAGCTGAGCGCTCTGCGTCTTCCGATTGGCCAAGCGTCTGCGAATGTTGCTGCGCGAGGGAGGAATCCAATTCAATATTCATTCAGCATCGAGTCTAATTGGATTTGGATTTGGATCTGCTTACTTGGTGTTCTGCAGCAGCTTGGCCACGCCCTGCTGCGTCTCCTTGACGTTGTAGGCCAGCGAGACGAGGAAGGTGGCCAGCGCATCCAGCCGACTGGCCACATCCAGTTCCGTTCCATTGATCGACCTGCCCTGCGTCGTCGGCGGGCTCTCCGTCCTGTAGAAGAGGTCCATGTGCTGCTCAGGCACGTCCCTCGTCTGGCGCGAGAGTTCTGTGGAGTAGAGGAGCAGAGGTTTAAAGGCAGCTCTAGGCACCTGTTCAAGCACACAGCTAAGCACAGCTAAGCAACAACAACAACAGCAACAACAACAATAAGAAACAACAACAATCAATTCGGCTTGGTTTACCCCGCATCTTGTTGCGATTCTTTTGCTTGTGGCTTAGCTCTCGGGCCTGACGAGGTCCCAGAAATTGATCGGTTTCACCTTTCAGCTCGTCCAGCGTGTGCCGCGTCAGGCGCTGGATGTGCTCGAAGCTGTCCAGGCGCTGCTGGAAATTGAGCTGCTGCGCCTTCAGCGATTCCATGCGACCCGTATTGCTGTCCAGCAGCTGATCGAGTCTGTGGTGGAGAGTAAGAGCAACAGAGAGAGAGAGAGAGAGAGAGAGTAAGAGATGGAGCATAATAATATATAATAAATAATAGTATTCTAATAGTTTACATCTGCATTTTAATTTAATTCCATTTGAGTTTTGTGCATAATTAATGAATTAATATATATTAATATTTAAATAATTAGATAGCTAAAATATTTTTTTTTTTCTTTTCGTGAACGAGGCTCGAAAACTACTTAGCCAATGTGAACGATTCCTTTACTATTACAAGTCTACATTATATATAATGTATATAATATATAAGAATACTCTTACTGATCTACTATATATATTATAATTATAAATATAATTAAATATATTCAGGAAAAAAGTCCAAATTCTTTTGGTATTTTATCAATTACTATCTGACTTCATTTGGCAAGCTAGAAATTATAGAAGAATATTTTATGCCCATCATCTCATATGTCGTCTTAAACCCTCAACATGCAAAAATCTATGTAAACCCAATACGAAAGTCTAGTGCATTGATAATAGCCCTAAATGTATTGAAATTCAATAGTAATTTACATAAAATATAAACACTCTGTAGAAATTTCGATCCATACGCATGATATCATCTATACGTATATGCTACAGTACTTCACATATATACTACGAGTATATAAATTAGCCTCTTTAAGACTATGGCGTGGGCGTCTCTACATATCATTTATTATTTCCAAATATCTGTCTGAGCATGCAAAGTTCATTTGGAGCCCGGTTAACGCCTAACTGTGACGTATTGCCAATTGTGTTTCGGCCGAATGCTCTTTGGCTAATTAAGTATGCATATAATTTATATACAAATCCCAAAATGTGCTATCAACTCGTTTTCGTACAACATTTGCCGTTCTGCCGTTTTTGACTGTCGGTTGAGTAAACAAAATGCGAATTTCGCTTAATTTATTAACAGAAGACCAGAACCCGGAGCCAGAAGGCGAATCGACGAAATGTTTGGAAAAAAGCGAAATACTAAAGAAATTTAGGAGCAGATAATAGCTAAACAACTTGCTCGAGTGCAGAGGAACCATCTGAATAAATTTGAAAATGGGAATTTATGATGCTATCTATGGTGGGGGAAGAGTAACGGAAGATGGCATGGTCCAGAACCTAAGATCCAATATAAACCTGATCAGTCTTGTGTGCAGGTTTGTCTGTCTGTATAGATATATCATATGCATTTGCATTTAAATTTGGGTAATCTTCGAATGCTTGCATAGTAAAATGGCTGATCCGAGTTTATTTTCTAGTAACACAGGTAATCAGGTGGCAAAAGAACTTGTTTCACACCTGATTTCTGGCTGCGGAAAGTTTTGAGCTTAACAATGAGTCTAAAACGTTTTTGACAATCTTCTTTTGACTAATCATAGCACTTGAGGTAAAGGCATTCAGTCAAGAGGCAAAACTATGAAGGAGTAAAAAATAGTAGAAAAAGTAAGTAAAAAAGTAGTAAAATAAAGTAGTGGAAAAAGTAGTAGAAAAAGTAGTCTGAGTTGATAAGACAAAAGTAAGAGCGGATTTGAGACTGGCAGCCGAGAGGATAGGTAGTAATTCTAACTTGGGATAGCATGAAGATGAGATATAGTATAAATACCAGAGTATTGATGATAGTATACAGTAGAGAGTATATAGAGAGTAGATTTTGACTAACGTATTCATTTTTGTCTGTTCATTCGTCTGTCTTATATACATATGACAGATTTTGTTTAAAGTAAGAGCTGGAGTAGAAACAAGTGTTCTTAGAGTAGAGTGATGAATGAGATAGCTGACGCTGATGAGCTATGATCATGATTTGAATGACAATTAGCGAGTTGGAGGGCAAGAGGACTTAAGTCGAAGTGGAGTCTTAGGCTCGTTTGTACAAAGAGCAAGAACAACAGTTTTATGATATATATTGTCTATAAGATATACTCTCCATAGGTGCCTGATCTGATCAGTTTATAGGAATTGACCCTATAGAAGGTTTGAGTAGTCTGGCCTAGGGTATTTCCCAGTCGATTACTACCGCTTAGATCACGCTTACTGCTTTTATTTGTCTTGGCCTTACGGCGCATCTCCGCGTAATCAATGGCATTGTAATTGACGCGTTTGACAGCAGCCGAAAAAGTCACAAAAAATAAAATAAATAAAATAAAAACAAACCAAAAACAAATAATACATCATTCGTTCTCTTGTTGTTTTCATTTTTTACCGGTTTTCCAAGATACCTTTACTGAGCATGTGTGTGTGTGCGTTGCTTGCCAAAAACCTGTTCGGCTACCTATGTTGAGGCGACATGGCAAAAGTTCCATTGTCGTCGCTCGTCCCCCTTCTCCCCCCTCTCGCAGCATCACTTACTTCTTATCGATCACTTCCAGGCGATGGCGCTGGTCCTCATCCAAGGTCGCCAAGATGCCGACACGATCGTGCAGGTTCGTCATCAGCTGCTTTATCTCGCTGTGCTGGGCAGCAGTGGGCGCCAACGTAGGCGTGGCATGATGCGGCTGCAATGGGCAAATGCAATTAGAGGGAAGTAAGGACAAGGCTGATTGAGCTCCAATAGACAAAGGCATTCCGTTAGCAATTTAAAGCTTAAACTCGCGTGCGATATTTGATTAAGCAAACGAAATTAGCATTGAGCTGAAACGTTTTTTGCTACGTATACTTAACGCACTCGATAGTTGCGTCCTCTCCACTGCGTGGGAGCAGGCGGCACAGCTGCTGCAGCATGGGCTGGAGCTGGAGCTTGGGTGGGCACTGTGGGCTCCTGGAGCGCCTCGGTCCAGCTGCATGCACAGCAGATGAGCACCAGGCACAGGCGGAATGTAGGCGTGCCCATGGCGATAAGCGCTACAAAACAATAAATTTGGCAATGCTCGAACGCTCGACACTCGCAACTCTCAGATCACACACACAAATCACGTTCTTCTCTAGCAGCAGTGCGAGGCGACTGATCGGCGTGCGCTTCACGGATAGACTGAGCAAGCGGGAAACAAAACCCAGCGAACAAGACCCATCGCGCAGCGAGAGGGAGACTCAGAGAGAGCAAGACTGAGAGAGAGAGAGAGAGCAAGCAAATGAAGAACAGACTTTTGAGCTCTTGTGCTGATTGTCTTTTGTTTTGGCAGTAAACAAAAAAAGAATCTTATTCTCTCTCTCTCTCTCTCTCTCGGCATCTCTCATGCTCTAGCTTTGTTTATGCTGGGCTTTGCCTTGGCTAGACTCGAAAAATCCCCGCGCTTTCAGACAGTTTGTCAATCACTGACGATTCGAAGCGATCAAGCATTATATTTTCTTATTGAGCAATATAATTATATACAATTATGTATATATTTTCAATATATGTATTATATTTTCAAATTATATACAATTATGTATAAATCTTCAATATATATAAATAATATTGAAAGACAACTTAAAGCAGAAATTCACATTACTCAGCTCATTGCAAATATTTACAATGGAATTACAGCAACGTATATACTTATACTTTGATCTCACTCTCTCTCTCTCTCTTTATGTCTTTCTATCTCCCTCTTTCTCTCTCTCTCTCTCGATTTCTTCCTCTTTCTTTAGGCTTTCAAGTACCTATACGCTGCAGATTGCATATCTTATTATATTTATACATATATGCATATAAATAACAAACCAAAGCGCGACTCATTCATTCACGTATGCGAAACCTGCCTCAAGATTTGCGTCACTATCACAACTGATCTACAAACATACATATGTCTTTATATATATGTATATCTACCTATTTGTATAGCTGCTCTGAATTTGAGCTTCCCTTGGGCCTTACCACGCTCAAGTCAGCTCTCTCGCTCTTCTTGAAATGTGTCTTGAATATGAATCAACGCATGATCTTTGATCTGACAAATGCAATATAATCATATGGGCCTACGACAGTCTATACGAATATGTTATAAACGTATTTCGAATTGAATCTCACATTATAATTATAGTTCATCACAACTGTTGACAGTAACAATTATTGAGTTACTTATACGAGTGACTGTATTAAATGGCATCTACTAAGTCCATAAATGACTATTTGATCAAGAGTTTACATGTTATTATAATTCAAATGAGATTTTTATAGCGTTTATTGAACTTTAACTCTCGCAGATGCCGATAGATCAACGTGTAATTACGAAATCGTAAATGTATGAGCTATGGGACTGGAATTAAAAAAGTTATTGTTATTAATTTTTATTATTTGCACGTAAGAAGTTCAGCTCAAATAAACATAAATATATTTACAATGTGACATGTTCCTTAAGTTTCAGCCAACCTAACTTTTGAATTGTATTTTGATGTTTAACTGAAAATATAATGAATATAAATTGAGAATTATTAAATTGAATTAACTGTGGAGTTTGACAAATATTGAATGGGTTTTTTATTCAGCCAGCATCATTTTTAAAATGTTTCTCTGCATTAGGTTTATTATATACAATCATTTTGTATACAATCTTTTGTTAGATCTGTGTTAAGTTTAATGAAATAAACATGTTTTGTAGAAGAACATAAAAATTCTTTGTTTTGCCCATTTTTATGCAAAAAAATCAATTTAATGCGTCATCATATATATAAGTATATAGAAATATACAGCTTATATATACAGTTGAGTCCCGATAATAATGGCAAGGCAATACGTTTTTTTCGATTTTTTTTTTTCAAATTTTCGAGAAGTATCGAGATTGAATATTTTCAAAGGTATAGAATTTTTTTCGACTTTCGCAATATTTGTTTTAACGGGGTACAAATTATCGAGACTCGACTGTATATATGTATGTGCCCACTGCTAGCTACGTTTTAGATGATAACGCTTTATAGCTTTCCGGATTGTGTCATTTTCCATAGCTGCGATGCTTTAGCTGCTGCTGTTGGCTTTAGCTAAATTACGTGGCAATTGTTTTGCCGTTATGGGTTTTTGACGGTCATCGTGGAAACCTTTTGCCTTTTGCAGCTGGCCAGAGTCGTGCGCAGATCCAACGACTCTGATAGACTGATGGATCATTGGCAGGCAGCGGCATCAACTGCAGCCCTGCTGAATGAACAGATCCGTCGATGACGACAGCCCAAAGGCAACAGCAATAAATTCATTAAAAGAAAAAAGATTGTTTAATAATAATAATAATAAAAAAAAAAAAACAGTTGCATGCCTCGCCAAAGAGTTGTGTCATTTGCGTAATTAGCCAAAACTACAAATTGTGAGCGACGTTTGCGAAATGTAGCTCAATCTGACATTCAAATGGAGGCAGATCAATTGATATTGCCCGAGTTAATTAGCCCGTGGTGTCAACTATTTCGTTTATTGTCATAAAACAAAATTAAAGAATATTAGTTGGCTCAATTGTTATTTATGCGAATTTTTAGCGAGCGAGACATTCGTCACTTTAGCGACAGCCTCGAATTCCAAAGTGTGTCATGCGCCAGCTACTCAAATAGATACAAGTGCGAGATGTGCTTAAGGAGTTTGGCAAACTCTTGAGATGACATATACGACTATCGATATCCGAATGGACTCTTGAATCTCTATTACGCCAATCACTCAGCAAATGCTCAGTTCTCAGAGCTGTTTCATGCTGGACGTCTGATAATACTAAACAAATAATTATTAATGATACTTGTTGAGCAGACCTCGCATGCATGTATCTGCCTATATACAGATATGTATTTATATATATATTCATTACCATTTTCTGCATCTATAGATAGCTTCAAGTGCAAGTCCAAGGGTAATTGAAACGATTTTGTCGAGTTCTATTTGAATTTTGTTTTTTGAATTTTTTTATTGATTTTCTTTTTTTTTTTAGTTTTATATTTTTGCATTTTATTTAATATTAAATTATTGTACAGGTTGAACTTATTCAAATTGTATTTAGTTGCCATTCAATATGCATTCGTATTAAATCATAAACATTCAATTTTGGTTTCTTTCATTCACTTTTTCGCTACTTAGAAATCGAACTACAGATTGTATTTACACGAAGAGAAACAATAAATAAAACATACATATATATCTTTTTTGTATATATATATGTATATGTATATATAATAAAGGTTTCATCTCATTTTTGGTTGCTTCGCCCTTTCAACTATACAAAAAACTGCTTACAGTGTAAACATAAAAACTACACACGCGATGGCTACACAGATTCCTCGAAGAGAATTTATATATATATATTCATAGACTCATATATATATATATAATTTTTTTATTTATAATTTCTATTGACTTTTCTTTGCTTTCGTCTTGTATTTAATAGATTCTTTTTTTTATTATTATTAATTATTTGTTTAATAGATTTTTGTTTTGTTTTTAACAAAGGTACGTTAAATATTTACGACAAATTCAATGCATTAAAAATAATTTAGTTATGCCTCGACTTCTGCTCGAGTCAGCGAATATCGAGAGAGCTTCTTCATTTCATCATTTCATCATTTGATCATTTTGTTCATTTATGTTTTACCTTACGTTCCTGCGGGCTCTGTGAAGGGAACCCATACCGCTTAGCTACTACAGAATACAACTAGAGACACACGTTCAGCTAAAAACATTCTTAGTGTTTACCATTTGCGATTACGTTACTTTAGTTAATATATATCTATATATAGACTTTGACTTATTTGCCTAATGCTGCGTTTCCAAATTACTTTCTTGTTGTTTCTCTTTCTTTTTCTTTTTTTATTTGTGCAGTGAATAAAACCGAAATTAAAATCGTTTCTGATCATCTCATTTGTGTGTGTTTCGCTTGATCCAAAACAAAAATTGTTAAATCAAATTGGCGATTCGTTCGAACTTGTTCATTTGGCTCGTTGGCTTATAAACTATGGACGTAACCTCGGGATGGGAAAAGTGCGAAAAGTGCATTGCCATTGTTAAATGTTGCAAATGTTTTCCAATTTATCTTCTCTCTTTCAACTTTTTGTTTTTATTTCTTCTATTTAGTTTGGCTAAATGTTTACACAATTTGAGGCGCGCAGCATTCAATTTGAATTACAAACAATACAAAAATGTTTAAGTGCTGAGAATTTTCTCTGTTTTCTTTTTTTGCAATTTCATTTTCGTGCGTTTTTAGCCTTTGCCAGCAAATAATTTTAAACAATTCGTTTGCCTTTTGGCTCAGCATCTAAATTTTGGTTCGCTCTAGTGTGCTTAAATTTCATGTGGTTTGAATTTGTTTACTTTTTATTTATTTATTTATTTTTTTGTTTGTTTTGTTTTTCATACTTTTGTTTTAGGTTTTGCGTACTTTTTTCATAAATCACAGAAAAAGTTTTTTCATTAAATTGTTTTTCATACTTTATTTTAATATTCAAGTTCACTTTTATTTCTACTACAAAATAGAATTTTGTCTGCGTTTTTAAACGCTGCTAAAACGCGCGCGTTTTTGCCTGTGTTGATAAACGCGCAGCGTACATTTAAAATAGTTTTGGTTTTGTTTTTGTTAGAATATCTTATAATTCCATTCAAATTTTACTCTAAACTCGATTAGTTTATGTTCTTGATATAAGTTTTGTTGTTGCTTTCATAAAAGTGTGTTTGGCCGCTGGGCCATAGATGGCGCCACCACGTGTTTATTTCTGTTTCTTGTTCTTTCATTGATTTAAGTAAAGAATTTGTTAACATATTTTGCTCTACGTTTATTTTAGTTACTTTCATTTCTACACACGCCAATATTTATTTATTTATATATTTTTCTTTTTGATTCATTTACGTTTCAAAACCATTTGAAATATCTTTGATTTCTTTAATTTGCACATTAAGCTAGTTCTTCTCTATATAGAAACTTTTCTATCCTCCACCTCTCTCTCTCGTCCTCTCATCTTTTGTGTTTGTTTTGCGTAACGTTTCGTAATAGTATTTAAATTTTTTTTATTTGCTTGGAATTGGATTGATTGGAGTTCGTTTTACTACGTTGCTATGTAAAATACTTGGTTAGGTTTATTTTTGTAAGTTAGTTGTTATTTAGTTTTAGTTGGTTGACTATTTGTATTTAGAATTTACGTGTTGCTGTTGCTTGCTAAAAACTTTTACTCTTACTACATTTCAAATCTAACTTTTAATTTGAGTTTAACTATTCGATTCGATTCGATTCGTTTCGATTTGCTTTCAAAATTGTTTACACATCTAAATCTCTCGCCTGATGCTGTCTAAGCCTTTCAGTGAACTACTTCAACAGCTTTTGCGACTATTTCGTTTTACTATTTTATTATTGACTAGGATTTCGTTTGATTTCATATGCAACATTTTCTTTTTTTTTCAGTTGTTAGGGACAGCAGCAAAAAGAAAACTGAAAAGCAAAAACTGAAAAACTGAAAAGTCAAATGAAAATCAAATAAAAATAAAAAATATCAAATTATGCGGTATAAATTTTTAAAGTTTATTTGTTGTTGTTGTTTTTAAATGTTTTTTTGCTTTATACATAAATTCATTTATTATTTGTATTTTAATTAATAATAATTAAAAATGTATCACTTAAGCAGCGCGGCAAAGTTTTCTTCTTCTTCTTCTTTTATAATGTGAAAATAGAGTTAAAAATAATAATAATCATAATTTTAATAGTAATTATATATAGTATATAAAGTGAAACAAACAAGAGCTAATTATCGGCTGGCCGAACCTTGAATACTCTCACAGACAGAATATATATACTCTATATAGTTGTTCGCAGGATGATTTGGAAGATGTGTAAAATATATAATATATATATATAATTATATATATTGATAGGATTCATTGGAGCTGTTTTCTGGCATCTTCCATTTCATGTAAATCTAATTGAATTGTTGGAGAACTACAGTTAGGCTTGAGGTTTACATATAAACTTGTCTTAGGTGGCCCGAGGTTCGTGGATCTAAATACCCATAAGGAAAAGTTATGCTTAGTCAGATAGTTTGAATGCTTGAACTACTTAGAAATACAAACGTGATTGAACACAGAAGTTAGACAAAAGGAAATCTGATCTGAGAGCGATTAGAAAAACAAATCAAGAATATTTTGTAGAATTAAACAGACAGCACAGAAAAATTTACATATTTTATAGAATCAATTTTTTTAGCTTAACAAGAAAATGAAATGAATATTGCTTAAATTATAAATTTTGTTTATGCATAAAATAAGAAAAAGTCAGCGGCAAAGCAAAAATTTGACTAAACTCTGAGTATCCTTATAAAAGATGACGTGAATGTAGCCTAACTAAACGTAACTAATATATGCCCAGGCACGATATACATATATATATATATATATTTGACTGAAATGCTGCTGTCTCTCTCACACACTCACTCACACTCCCACTCACTCTCTTTGTCTCTATCTCACTCGCACTGATTATTGGACAAATTATGGTTGAAGACGCGCGACTTTGATGACTGCCAATTGCTGTTTGTTTGCTTGTTGTTTGTTAGTTGCTTGAGTTGTTTGCTGGGTTGTTTTGTGGGTTGTTTAGCTGGGCTGTTGTTGTTGTTGTTTGTGGTTTGTTGTTTGTTGTTTGCTGTTGGGCTAATAGTTGGGTCTAACAATAGAAACGTACGCCATCCACTGAGAGGACCTGCTTTAATTTTCATTTATTCTGTCGATTCGGTTCCGTATGCAGCTGCACGCCTTCCACGGTGAAAATTGAGGTTTCTGCAAGGCAATAAATTGAAATATGATTAAATTTCATAAATTTCGGTATATTTATGCAAATTTTCTGTTAATTAAAATATAAATTATGACGAGACATTATTTAATATACTCTCTCTCGCTCCCTCTCTATCTCTCCCTCTCTCTCCCTATCAGCTGACCTCAGGCCAGACAATTAAAATGCAATGCAAATTTCATTTTGCTAACGAGCGAGACATGGGTGCCACGCCCACTGCATAACCGCAATGCTCACACGCTCCAAGTGCTGCGGTTCTTTTTGGCTGTGCATTGACCTTATCCGGCGGCGGCGGCGGCGGCAGCGGCTGCCCGGGACAACATGATAAATGCGGCACATTAGTTGCGTTTTAATTGATTTTATCTGAACAAACTGTTAAAGCTGCGACCGCAACACAGTGGTAGAGAGAGGGAGTGATAGAGAGCGAGGGGCAGGGGCGGAGTGAGTGAGCCAATCGCGCTATTTGATGAGCAAACCCCAAAAGTTATAAAGCTGAAATGCTGTGCCCTAATGAGTGCCTGCACCTGTGCGATAAATCCGAGCTGTTTACAATTTTGACCAAAATTAGCATATTTACTAAAGTACGCAAATAGTCGGAGAGTCGGACGGATGTGTTTACAAATCAGCGTTAATCACAGTTTAAGCGCACATTAAGCTACGCAGTCATTAAGTGGACATGAGGGATGCTGCGTGAGAGAGAAGAGAGTGAGAGAGAGGGGGGGGAGGGAGGTAGAGTCTGCTCTACCTCCCACAAATGCACTGTCTGCTCTGCTCTGCTCTGTTGTCCGACTCTAACCAAATGCACTTGGCAAATTGCAATGCTCGCTGCGTTTCGTATTCCATTTGGTCCACCAAATGCTTTTTCGAGGCTTCGGGCTAAATGTTTTGCCATTTACAATTGCAAATCGAAGCGAGAGCTAAATTAAGGCAAGCTCAAAGCACAAAAAAAAAAAAAAAAAAAAAAATTAAAAGTTCAGTTAAAATATATTTGGCTTAAACGACTTTAGCTGCATGTGGATTTGGCTAGGATCATTTGGAAGAGCTCTCGTTTGACTAATGGCCAAATGGTAATGCGCGGATAGTAAAAAGGAGAGTGTACATATATAAATATATATTTAAGTAGTATATAGATATATATGACAAATATATGCAGTAAATACATATACATATATACTAAATAATATATAACTGTATCTGCTTTGGCAGCCACGGACTGAGAAGGCTTTAAAGAGTAGTAGAGACTTGAATATATTCATATATGACTGGGAAATACCGGAACCACTTGTACAGCGCTGCTATGCCACACCCACTTTTCCATACAACTCATAGCAAAGTGTTCTTAATTTAAAATTTAAAATTCTTCGCATATATTTGAATAAACTTGCCTTTATGGAACGATTCTTTTTCTAGTGAACATGTTAAAAGATTTTATTAAACTATAAATTAAATCTTAGTAGCAGAATTGTATTGAACAGTGTAATTAATTTTGTGGTAAAACTGCTCGGATTATTTGCTCAGCTGGATAACAATATTTAAACCGCCTCGGCCATAGGAAAGTTATTCTAGTAGTAGAGCAAAAAAGTCTAATTAAAATCGAATTTCGCTTCGCTTGACAAAAATTTTAATGTGCTTGAACTACTCAGAAAGCCCAGCTCTGAGCAAAATGAAGCAACAATCTCTGCTGCCATAAAGACTCTATTGTTGTCAGCGTTCTGTTGTTATCAAGACTGTAAAAAAGTTTATATATGAATAGTTTATTTCATATAGATAAACAGTGAATGAAAAGAAATGCTGAAGTTTTTCGACTGCAGTCTTGCTGCTGCTCCTCCTGCTGCTCCTCTATGCCTCCTTATTTTCGCTTGCTTTGTCTGTTGATTTTTTGGGCATATTCAAAGTGTCTTGTGGCAAATTAACTAGTTGCTTGCGAACAGCATTTTCACTTGGCCAACACAAATGGCTGCTGCTGCCAACTTGCGACTTGTTGCGAAAGGAAACTTTTTCGCCGTAGCCGTAGCCGTAGCCGTAGCCGAAGGAGCACACAAATTAAAACACAAAAAGTGTAATTACTGTTAACTGTAGACAGCGGCAGATTGTTGTAGTAGCTGTGGCTGTTCTTGGCCAGGCAAACATTGGTTAAACAAACAGCAACAAGGCCAACTTTGTGGCACTAACTTCAAATGAGTTGTAGCTCAATTTCGGGGCCGAAGTGGGCGGGGCAGGAGCACAAACAAATTGTCGTGTTGCACTTTAATTGGATTTTTTTTTTTTTTTTTTGTTGGTGTTCTCAATGCGACGCGACTTGTAAATATTTAATATGGAATGTAATTGAATGTCTTACCGTCTGGCAATTCGTAGAGTTTCTTTGGCAATTGCGCAAAGTAGGGATGCTGCAGTGCCTCGTCGGCGCCGATGCGCTGCTCGGGATTGAGCTGGAGGAACGCGTTCGCTATCGTCTCGCCCTCGATGATATCGTACAGCCGTGGAAAATTGTGACCCAGTTTTCGTGGTCGATAGAAACCTAGTCAGTGTAAAGAAGGTTCAATTAGTCTCCCTCTCTCTCTCTCTCTCTCTCTCTCTCTCTCTCTTCTTTTACTAAGTGAGGATGCTGCCTGGCCAATTACTTACCCAGCTTGTGTGGTTTATAGCCGGGAAAATGTGTGACGCCCTGCCACGTGTCCTCGGTGGGCGTGCCAAGCAATTTGAATATCTTGTCCAGCTGATCGTATGTATCACGTATGCCCGGAAACGTTGGCATACCAGTCACCATCTCCACAAATATGCAGCCAACGCCCCACATGTCCAGCGACGTCGAGTACTCCGTGCTGCCCAGCAGAACATCTAAATGGGAGAGAGAGAGAGAGATGGGAGTGGGTGTTAGGTTCGTTAGGTAAATGTAGTTTTTTCTATGGGAATAAATTGCAATTTTAAATAAATAAACAGAGCTGTTGCCCGAGAGGCAGTCGGATGACAGCCTGACACACTGACTGACAGCCATGCAGAGGTCGTCTTAGCGCTTATCTCGGCTGGCCCTAAACAAAGTTTTTACCACACACACACACACACACGCGCATACAAAATAGGGACAGGTGGAACACACTCGACTGGCATGCACTGGACTGAACTAAACTCCAACAGCTCCAATGCTGAGCAAACCACATCCGCACGTTTGCATATATCCATCCACTTGGCTGCAGATGCTGCTCGACTCTATCTCCCCTCTAACCTGGTCAAGAGTTTACTCGTCTGCTCGTCTGCTGCTAAGAAGTGCAGATTAAATTTGTTTAACATGCTTTGACTTGCCCCGTTGAGGTCAGTCGGGAGCCTAGGGAGCAGCATCCAGCTGCTGCTGCTGCTCGAGCAGGAGCCACAGGCAGGAGCAGCCGCTCGACTTCACACAAACTGCTTATGCCGAGGGAATTGCATATTAAAAAATTAACTTTATTCTCTTTACATATCTCACTGTCTCTCTCACATTCTCTGGCTCTATCTGCTTTTAGTGCTATCTTTTTTTTCAATTTTGCGCTGCAAATTGATGAGAATTTTGTTGAGCACAGTGAAAGAGAAAGAGAAAAAAGCAAAGCTAAATGAATTGTTTACCCATCGGACGCTGTCTATTTAGTGGGATATTAAAATTAATCTGCTTTCAGCTCTATGAGGAAACACCAAATTGAAAATGTTTAATGGAAATGCTGGACAAACCAATATTAATCTGCTTTCAGCATGTAGTTGGGCAAATTAATGCAGCTCAATATTATAGAAGCTTGAATTTTGAGTGCTGCATAGCTATCAGCAGAGCTTGTTAGTGCGGTTTGGCATAAGCTTGGGAATTATCAGAGTGAGACGGAAAATCAACAAGATGATTAGGTTTCTGAAAAGCTTCTAGTTCATGGTATGTGAGCTATCCTTTAGGGTAGCAAAGTTGGCCAGAGATAGACGCGTTAGGTTTACCTGAGTTCTGGCAAAGTCTAGAAGCTTAGAAACTACTGGAAAATCGTTTAGTGCTTCAAAAAGTTCAAGATAAGCATTAACATTCCAATGAACTAGTTCATGAGAGATAGACAGTAAGACGAAACTTAACATTAAAATTTTTTAATTAGTTCACTAAGAATGACGTGAATTGCTTGAAAAGGTATAATACATTCACAAAAACAACCAAAATAAAATAAAATACTGCTATCATAGCAAATGAACTAGTTCTTACTGTGAGCTTTTGGTGTCCACTAATTATTTGTAGTTCATTCGCAAAAATTACTCGAAATAAAAAAAATCTGCATTTCCAGCAAATGAACTAGTTCATCCTGTGAGCTATTGGCTTCAATTAATTATTTTTGTATTTAATATATTTAATTTTTATTTCATTTTGCAGTTCATTCGCAAAATACAAAATAGATTTGTGCAATCCCAGCAAATGAACTAGTTCATTCTGTGAGTTCTTAGCTTTAACTAATTATTTTATTTTTTCATAACTAAAAATCGCTCAATGAGTCTCAAATGAACCAGTTCTTTCTGTAAACTTAACATTCCTATACAATTTAACATTAAAATTCTTGGCTCAAACTTCTTATAAGTTTCTATTATATAATCAAGTGCTGCAAATAAACTAGTTCATCTATTCAGTTCACCCATACTTGAGCATTAAATTGCAATCAGCTTTAATTGAACTACTAGTTCACTGAGCGCTATGGCAACCCATTTGTAATGCAAGCAAATATGCAATTATATCAAGTGGCTGGGGCCAGGTCTTCAGCCGCACTCACCTGGTGGACGGTACCATAACGTAACCACTTCATGGGAATACGTATGGCTGGGCACGCTCTTGGCACGGGCCAGGCCGAAGTCGGCCAGCTTCAGTTCGCCGCAGTCGCTGATTAGCAGATTCTGCGGCTTGACATCGCGATGCAGGACGCGACGCTTGTGGCAGTAGGAGAGGCCGCGCAGGAGCTGGAAAAGGAACAGGCGCACGTTGCGATGGTCCAACCCACCCGGATGCTTTTCCATATATTGCGATAGATCGGTATTCTACGAGGCATAACAATAGTTCGATTAGCTCTACATATATATATATATATATATGTGGATATATATTTATCAATCTGTATACTCACCACATATTCAAAGACAAAGGTCAACGTCTCGCGGGTGTGCACGATGTCGTGCAGGGTCACAATGTTGCTGTGTTTCAGTTCTTTTAGCAGCGACGCCTCCCGTATGGCCGTGAATGGTGCGCCCTCCTCCTCCTGCAGCCGGATCTCCTTCAGTGCAACGCGCTGGTAGGTTAATCTGTGCGCGGGGGGCATAGAGGGTGTGTCGTGTGTCAGCAAATTAATAAAATAAATACACAAGTCAAGAGAAACATCCCATAAGAACCATTACGAATTGCCCGAGATGAAAACAAACACGGAATTAGCCAGAGCTCGTAGGGGCCCGGCTCGCATTGTCCTCGCCGCAAGTCATGTAGGGACAAGCTGCATGGCAGGGGCTGAGGCAGGGGCGGCGCTTGGGTCTGGGCGGTTAGGTGTGCGCCGTTGGGTCTTTGCTTACATTAAACGGACATAACGAGCCCAACAAAAATACGCACAAAAATGTGCGGCAAACACTTAAATTAGGATAAGGCCAAGTACAGACGACATGCCAGCCACGCCCCGCACGCCCCCCCCGACGAAACGTAGCAGCCCCTAAGCCGCATATTTGAAGTGTCAAATTAGGTTAAATTATTTGACACCGACGCCGCAGACGGCAGGAATTTATGAGACCTGCTATAGCCCAGGCAAATTCTAATTGGAACTGACTCGGAACTTGGTTAGGCTCCACAAAGGAGAGGGAGGTGAGGAGCGAGCAGGGGGCATGCTAAAATCCTAGTCATAAAGTAGTTGATTTACGTCTGCTGCCAAGTGCCGGCAAAAATTGAGCAAAACTTTTTCGCATGGCTCAAGTGCGGCAGATGCTCATCTCTCTCGCTCCCCTTCTGCCTCTCCCCCTTTCTCACTCTCTTGCTGTCTGATCCACTGGACCGAGGGCTGAGGGTTAATTCAGTTAACTAAAGCGTCGCGATTTCAGCTAATTGGCAGTTGACGTCAGCCACCAAAAAGTGTTTCGACTCCAAGTCACTTTCGCTCGGCTAATGATGATGACATGCGTAATGAGAGGAGCACCAGCCACTGAGTGAAAGATAATGTACTTCAAATTAACCCCGATGGCTAATCAAAGGAAGAATTATCGCATCAAAGGCGGATACAGAAACTTTAGCCTCAGCAAGCATTAGCTAAGGCAATATTGGATAAAGAAATAATATATATATAACTTAACTTAATTTCCGTAATCACATATATTTTGGAAACTTCAATTAGACTTGAATGATATTTTATTAGGGGCAGGCTTGTAGCAGTTAGGTAAATATAAGTTACTAATTAAGTGAACGATAGATTGGTCATAGACGTAGGCAGGACTAAGCGTAGACTAGGCTAAACTAGGTGTATGCTAGCTAAAGGAAAATATTTGTAATTTATGTAAATCTAAAGAAAGTGCTAACATGAAAGAAAACAGAGAATTGTCTAATAATTTTAATCTGGAAATAACTGATACATGTTCACATATGGGAAATAATTGATTATCGCTGAGTCGTCTCTTAATAACTTTAACTCATTAACTCATTAAGGATATGCTCATGAAAGTAAGCACTATCTGACTTTAACTGATCTAAGACTAATTTAAATTTTATTTCAACTCATATATTGCAAATTAAATTTTATTTAATATTCATTTATTATTATACTAGAAAAAATCTAAAAGAAATTACTTCTATAACTCTGAGCTAACCCCATTAAACAACTCCTCAGATAAACCCTGTCTTCATTTTCCACTTCCCCATTTGCCAAGTACTTGTAAAACGGAATACCATTTTGATAGGCATAAAACATTCTGGGGCTTATCTGCCCACACAAATAGCTGTTCCTATTTGCGAAACGCCTACAATTTTATTGGAGCATAAACCAATTTGATGCTGTAACAAGTATGCAGCAAGTGAACTTTTGTTTATATAAATTTTAAGGCTCATTTTTATGCCAACAGCAAACCTCGAGCTGTGCTCGCCTGATGATCTTTTCGAATATCTGCGCCATTCTCTAGGCAAATGTTGCCGTTGAATGCCCGCCAGCCGCAACGGTATCAATTAAGCCTTTTATGCGATAGCAAGTGGTGTTGTTAAGAGCACACACACAACACACACACACACTCGCACATGCACACTTTTATAACCTCCAAAGCGTATGCCATAAAGAGCTTATGTCTGCGCACATCCTGCTACGACAACATCCTTTGGCACTGCTCCTTGGCGACATGCGAAATTTTCATGTAAGCGGCAGCTGCAGAGCAACTCAGGCAAATTACACGACAACAGCAACAGCAACAGCAGCAAGGATACATGACTACAAGGATGTGTTGGCTGGTTTTTCTTAGGCGGGGGGGCGGAGGTGGGTGGCGTCACCTCGCAAGTGCCATGAAAAATGTATGAGAAAGCTGCCTGCCTGCATTTGATAATTTCGAACTGGGTCAACGTTTGAGTAGCTGGGCGTGGCAGGCGTTCGATAAGGGCGCGCCCCCCACCCTATGACAACCATGTCGAAGGATATGGGCCAAACTTTAGTTGCGTTAATGTAATAATAATATGATTTAGTTAAACATAGAAAGAGAGAGGGCGAGAGGTAGAGAGAGGGAGTTGGAGCCCGAAAGTTTTGCCGTCAAGCAGCAAAGTTTGACGCCAGATGGCGCTACTGTTGACAGTTGACCCACTAAATGCTAATCAGACGCGTTAGCTAAACTCGAACAAAGTTCAAGTGCTCGTGCCCAAAGAAAAACACAAACTTTGCCAAGTCCAAACAGAAGTGAAATCATTTATGAAAAATCTCTCAACAATTGACAAGCAAACTCTGAAGGATGGCCGCAATGTAAAGCGCGCATAAATCTTAACAACAGAGAGCACCAAAGGCAAAGGCAAAAGGAAAAGCCAAAGCAAAAGCTAAGCCAAGCAAAAGGCAAAGCACTGACCCAAATTTGCGAATTGCTGCGTATGAAAATGCTAATCAGCAGGCCAAGCCGAGCGAGCCAAATTTGGCTTGAATGCAAAGCCAACAACGGCTCACAAGTTGTCATACAGCGCCAATTTTCATTTACATTTTCCATTTTCTATTTTCCATTTTCCATTTTGGCATTTCACCATTTCCCTAGTTCCCCATTTGCACAGTTCTTGGCCACGTTTCCTGCTTGGCCCAGATAAATTAGAGCGAATTAATTGCATTCCGAATAAACAAAGCTAATTGGAACTCATTTCGCATGTGGCTCGACGCTCTGCATGCCAAATGAGAAGCCGAAACCAAAGAAAACACAACTTTTCCTTGTTATTCACGTAAATGCTAAATGCCCATTGTCATAGGCGGAGTTCGGCCTGCAGCTGCTGGGAGTTGGAGCCGAGCTGGGAGCCGGCTCTGCAAATGATTGTCAAATAAATCAGCAAAGGAGGCAGCGGCAGCAAAAGTAAGTCGGCGACGCCAATGCAACTGACAGCCACTGGGTATTCATCATGTGGCACCCTCCCTCACTCCACCCACTCCACTGCCACTCCACTCATTGCTTGTAAATGTAAGTAGCCCGCCCCCGCCCGCATTGCCCTGCTGGCTGGCCTGTCAAAAAGGTGACGAAGCTTGTTTTTGTTGCCGGCGCTCATTTGTCAAATTATGAGCGACGCAGCTCAAGAAAATCAGAGCCGGCGCAAATGAGCCGGCATTTGTTAAGGAGCAGGAGAGCGAGCAACTGGAAGGAGGCCGAGGCCGCTCGGCTGCCAACTCAATTGTGTCAAAGCGAGCGGCAGAGAAAAGGGTTACGCAGGGACTTTGAAAAGTGCGTTAAGAAACCCAAAAAGCCAAAACAACAATTGTGAGAGTCCAAAATAACAGCAGGAGTAGGAGCAGCAGGAGCAGCAGGAGTAGCAGCAGCAGCAACAGCCACTACCATGGTAGGTATTTTGCCAACAGAGTATTGTTTTTTTCTTTTTTTCTAAGCCTGCCTTGCCCCATTGTTGCACTGCTGCCCATTGTTGGGCATTTCCCGCTCGCAGAACCTGCCCCAGCGCCTGATTGATAGCCGCATTTGCATAGGACAAAAAGAAAGTAGGAAGCTGCGACTGTGTCTGTGTCTGGGCTGCTGTAATGAGCCTCTGCCAGCAGCTCCACATAAATAGTATATATAGTGTATATATAGGACGCTGCATGGCAAATGAGCACACAGCCGGATGCAAAACGGCAACAGCAAAACGATAAAGAAACAGTGAGAGTGAGAGAGGGAGAGGCAGAGGGAGAGGGAGAAAAGAGGAATAGCAAGTGCTGCTCGAGCAGCATTTGTAAATAAATCAAGAGAAAATGGCGGGCGGCATTGTCACACAATTTTGCTTAAAAGGCATTTGATTTAGGCGCAGCAACTGTAAAGCTGACAGGATGGGACGCAACCTACAAAATACAGGACATGTCCAACCCGTTCGTCAGCCTTGAAGCTCGTCAAAATTCATGGAAGGCAGCAGAGCAATAATTTTGCTTAACCCACTGACATGGCAACCCAATTTGAGGACCGCAACTTGATTTATGGCACTCAGTTGGGACCCCACTAGAAACTTACATATATATTTACGTCTATGTGCGTGTGTGTGTGTGTACTCACTTGCTAAATCCTTTGTAGACTGTCGCATAGGAGCCCTCGCCGAGCGGTTCCAGCTTAACATAGGCCTCCTGCTTGCCGAAGGGTGAGTCGCCCTGTGAAGAGAGAGAGAGAAACATGGAAAAATAAATAAATAAAGTTGTAATTAGCCAAAACTTTTCCAAGCTGATCTTAATTTATGGAAACGATTCTTATAAATCTTAAGTTAAATTGTTTTCAACTGCCGCCTGAAAGTATGCAGCGAGCTGTGTTTGATTTGCCGCTCAAAAGTAGGCAATACAAATTTGCATTGTCAAAGAAGCGTAATTTGTGCTTATTGTTCCAATTCCGAGAACAAAAACAAGACATAAATGTGAACATATACATAAATGGGGTATATATAATTGGACCTTCACTAAGCCACTTCCTTTTTTTTTTTTGTTATATCTAAGCACAATTGTTTTGTATGATGTAAACCATTTGGTGGAGTTCTAGACCTTTTCAATTAATCAATTCTAGACTCATCCGTTTGAGTGCTTTGCTCAAAAAGTAACTCCCATTTGAATATTATTCTCTAATTGTGGTTGAAGCAAAAATTGTTTGGATGTCTGCTTCGGGAAGCTGTTCAATTGTACTTTCATCTGCTTCTTCAATTTCGAGTAACAAGTTAAGCTCTGGTTTATAGTATGGGAGGAGTTCTTCTCTTTGTCTAATATTACATTATATAATTATATTTATATTATCTGAATATAATATATGGTCTCACATATCTGTGTTGTCAGCTTTTTTTTTTTTTTGTATATTTATTTTAAGCGCTGAATCTGTACAATGCAAGTTTAGCACCTTAACAACACAATTAGATTATTTATATAGAACTTAACCTTCTGATGTATTCAGGAGGAGAGAACATTTCATTTACACGACCAACCCGCAATTTCGTTGAGATCTTAATAATATTGATCATAGGGCAGAGTCTCCAAATTGGAGTCCTCTTACATTTCTCCCCACACTATTTAATATTAATCAAAGCTGACTTTTCTCTATACAACCATCTTTTACTATTGTTTGTGATCTTATTAGAGTTTTACTTTACCATATTCAATGGTTAAACTGCTCAACATTTAAATGCATTTATTTATTCGGAACACTCAGTGCCAAGGCAAAGGGTCCCACCAGGACAAATTTCAAAGAGATAAAAATATTTTCAATGGCTTAACACAGCTCAACGCTGTGCACTACACTCGAGCGCAGCTACAACCAGTTGAGAATTGTAAGCGCACAAATGTGAAAAAACGCGCACAGAAGTATGCAATGATTTATTCGCAGTTGAGTGTGTTTGTGAGTGTGTGTATGTGTGTGTGTGTGTGTGTGTGTGTGTGTGTGTGTGTGTGTGTGTGTGTGTGTGTGTGTGTGTGTGTGTGTGTGTGTGTGTGTGTGTGTGTGTGTGTGTGTGTGTGTGTGTGTGAGTGTGTGTGAATGCGTGTGTATGTGTGTGTGGGTGTGTGCGAGTGTGTGTATGAAGAGATATATCAAATGACCAGCGATAAATTACAGTTAGACAAAGTGAGTGAGCATAAATTGATTGAAATTGATTGAGTGAGAGGAAAAATGCATTTGCTGCTGCTTTTCACTTCACTCTACTTACCCCAAATGCACTGAAACGTTTTCGTCGCGGAAGCGGATCCTGTTTGTTGAGAAAGACCTCGGACTTGGGTCTGGGCGGCTTCTTGGGTCGCATGACGACATGCGAATGGTACTTCATCTCCTCCCTGATATCATCGTCCAGCAGCTTGCTGTCCGACGAGACCGACAATTGTCGCTGTACGCGATCATGATGGTCGGTGCTGTCCGTGCTGCGCCAGTCTGCAAAGGGAAGAAGAAGAAGAGAGAAGAGTAGAGTCATCAAAAAGTGAGCAAAAGCAAGAAAGGAAACAGCTTAATGAGATTGTACAAGTGCTTGGAGTAGACTACTTAAAATCTAAATTAGTGTCCCACACACACACAGAGGGAGAGAGAGAGAGAGAGCGAGTGTCAAAGGAAAGAGGGAGTAAAGGTAAGAGGAGCATGAGAGAACAAAGCATAAGCCAACAAATGGCCAGTTGCAGGCTGGCTGAAGGACCTTCAAGGAGCGCAAAAAAGGATTTGGGGCTCGGCATAATGAGGCCACAGCCACGCCCCCAATGACGAGCGACCTGCCAGTTGTTGGCAAGTTTGCTCATTAACCCAAGTGACCGAGGGGGGCTAAGGGAGGGCCAAAGGTGGCTGCATCATCCTCATCATCATCATCATCAATGGGCAGCCTTGAAACCGTTGCATGCAACAACTCTGCGGCCACTGTGGCAACTCTGCCATGTTTGCACAGCGGCAACCGAAACCGAAAACCGGAACGAATCGAATCCGCTGCAGCTCTGCATAATACAGCTGGCAAATATAATAAAAATGTTTCAAAAGGTATAAATGTATAAGTGTGTGTGTGTGCGGGTGTGTGTGTGTGGCAGCAGGTGGCAGCCAGTTCAAAGTTGGTCTAGGACAAACTTTTGTTGCAATTGTAGTTGAGGGGCGTGGCAGCTGCTGCTGCTGCTGCTGCGGCAGTGGGTCACCTAGTAACCCGATGATATTCATTGACTTGGGAGCGTGTCAGCCAGCGTGTCCCTAGCTGTCTTTCAATTTGCTTTAGCAATTTGTTTGCATTGCCACTGCCACGCCCACACAGCACAGGTACATTGCCCGTGCGGGCGGACTTCTCTCTCACTCCCACTCCCACTCCCACTCTCTCTCTCTCTCTTTCTCTCTCTGTACTTGGCTTCGCCCCGGTTTGTTTGGCTTTCTATTTGAGCACTAATTACATTTTAAATTATGTTTGCTTTTGGCATCGTCGTGGCTGCTGCTGCTGTGAATGCAGTTGCTATCGTGACTGTTGCTCTGACAGCTGCACACACACACACACACACACACACACACAGGTGTGTCTGTGTATCTTTGTGGCTTTATTGAAATATTTATATAATATAGTTGTGGCTGGCGGCTGTTGCCAGCGCAGTTTCAGTCGCGTTTCGCGCAAATTGGTTTTGTTGCAGCCCTCGAAGAGTGGGCGTGGCGGCACGTGTGCATTTCATGATATATAGTTCAATGCAAGCGAGCGTAAATAATAGAAGCGCGTGAGTCACGAGCTAAATTTTAAGCAACTTTTACTGAAACTTAAAGCTGCCGCCCACCCCGAACTGTTAAGTTTGCCTCATTTGCGATGCATAATTTCGCATTTCCTTGCCTGCGCACAATGATCAAGTAAGTCCCCGGTGTAACACTCGCTTAAACTCGTCTTTCAATTTCCCCAACTTAAGCTTTCATTGAATTGCATTTCCGTTGGGCTTCTAACCCACATTTCCGAGCAGAGCTCGCAACACCTACTCATATATGCACACAGACACACACACTCACACACACAAGCATTCATGCCACAGTCAATGGCCTGACCATACTAAGAGAAAGAAAAACTCCATTTAGGAAACTGAGCGTTCAAGAAGGTCTTCCAACTCTATCTGCTTTCACCTCGTGTTATTTTTTTTTTCACGCCTTCCCAAAGCAGCGCAGGGCACATGAAAAGCAGTTCTAGCTGAAAGTTCTGTACTAGAAGTTACCCTGGAGTCATTGTATATAAGCTTTAAGCAGTTCGTAAGAAATTTACTACGTTTTTCTTTCTCATGGAACTGAACTTTGAACTGCTAAGAAGTTGTTTTCTTGGCAATCAATTTGGCAAATTTCAACAAGAATCTTCACTAAATCCATAAACTATATATACTTTTATAACTCTTGACAAATAATTCTAAATAAAAAGATCTAAAATATTGTCAGCAAGTTCTATATATAATCATATATCTAAATATCATTATCAAATGACAGATTAGTGATGACTACTTAAAATCAGATTAGTGATGTGTATTTATCTGTCATTTGATAATAATATTTATATATATGATTATATATTAATACTATTCTCTGATATTCCTCTGTTTCTCGCTCAAATCTAAAGTGCTAAATGTTATGACTTTTCATAATAGTCATTTTAAGGCATAAACCGTATCCTGATCTCGTCTGCCGCCCATCCCGTCAACTATCGCGCCTTCAGCAAACTCTTACCCACATTTTATGCGCACAGGGTATACAGTCAGTGAAGAGATGGAGAAGTAGGAAAAAACTAAATAAAAACCAAATTTAATATGCGCGCACAAGATGCTCGCTGTGGATGGCGCTTCCTGTTGCCTGTTGCCAGACAGTCAAACAGAATGTTGAGAAATTACTAACATAAAAATTAAAAATTCAACAGCAGCCGATTGTGCGAGGCGAGGCGAGACGAGGTGGAATGACGTAAGGCAAAAGAAAAAAAAAAAGAAAACTTTTGGGCAAACTTGCCGAGGATAACAGGATATCAGGATATTAGGATATGAAACGCTGCCTTCACGAGAACGGACGCTCGTTGAAAGCTAATCCGACTGTGAATCGCATATGGCACACACACAAACACACACACACACACACACATGGCATATGTACATATTAGACGAAGGCAGTGCACAGACATTTGCTATGAGCGTTCCATGGCAAATGTTGAAGGCGATTAAATGCGCAATATGCGCCATAAATGAGCCAAATAAAAGAAAAGAAAACCAAGAGGAAAACTTGAATGAGAACAAAAAATTGAAATAAAGAAAAAACAGATATTGAACGAGTAGAGCAAGCAGCCGCCGAGTGCTGCTCCAGCTCCAGCCAAATCTCATCTCATGCCAGTGCCTCAAGCAGACTTCTCTCTCTCTCTCTCCCCCTCTCTCTCTCTCTGTCTGTCTGTCTGCTCGATGACATTGTCGTCCTGGCAGCCGTCTTGGCTACAGCTCAAGCAAAAGGGGCAAAGGGGCTGGGCACATAGATGAAAGCCATTTGATTTGCAGAAATTGACTGAGCATTGGCAAAGTGGCTGTAAAATTGGAAAAATGACTCGCAAGGCAAACGACTTTTAGCGCTCTTCTACTACATATTTGCTATATTAGAAAGTTCTGAAAATTCCAATAGTTGTGTGTGATTATTCCGTTGCGAGTGCCAACAATGCCAATGGCAATGACAATTCCGAGACACAAACTTGGCGCATATCAAAGGAGCAAGCGATAATCATTTGGCAATGATAATGCCAATGCGAAATGGCCATGCTAATGGAACAGTTGGCAACGCTTACCGCATCGTGTGGGTGTTACATACATGCATACATACACATGTGTCTATCTATTGATTAGGGTGGCTTTGCTAACTAGGGCAACTGGAGCAGCGCTCTAATGGCGCTCGAGCACATATTGCATGCAAGTTGTTTATGACTTTAACAAGATTCGCGACAATGGTTTGTGATGTTGCTTAAGCGATCTGGCAACACCGAACAATATTGCATGCTTGTTAAGTGGGCTGCGCTTGAATATTACATAAGATATCTCTGAATACCTAAGCTCTATTTATATTTTACGCGATTCCTTCGTTTACCCAATGAGGGTAGAGATTCTGTCTTCTTCTTCTTCTCTGTAGAGTCTTTATGTTTTGTCATTCTTCTTTTTCACTACCATCAAGTATACCTACCTCTACTTTCTCTCCAACTCTCGCCCTTCTTTAGTTTACAAACCACTTGCTCAGATCAGAACTTCACAATTCTGTCAAAATTAATACTTAAAGTTCTTCCTCGCTCACCTCTACTTTACAAACTATCTTATGGCATACAAGAAATGTTATTTACATCTTCTCTCCCTCCCACCCTCTCTCTCCCACTCACTCTCTCTCTCCTTCCATCATTATGGTTACTTCCTCCTGCTTTTTTTTTTTACAGCATTCATAAAGTTATATAGCCGGTTTTTGGTACTGCACTCAAGCGCAGCGAGCAGTTCCCCCACTTTGTCTGTCGTCACGGTCCTTTCGGAACTCCTTTAACGCCTTTATGCTTAAGTTTTATTGCGTTACACACTAAAATCTCTCGGGCGAATAACTTGAAATGCAAACAGAAATCAGAACAGGAAACGGTTCACAAAAACAACAACTGAAATAAAATGATAAACCAAGGAGAGAAAAAAGTAAAGAAAATGAAAACTGAGTGCAGAAAATTCGCGCATAAAATGAAAACAATGAAAATTATGCAAGCGCGTTACATCAGCCGAGGAAAAGTAGAGGCAAAAATAAGAAAAAAATGGAAATAACACAGAAATGCAAAAATGTGTCATACAAAAAACGGAAATGATAAAAATAGCGGGTGCTGAAGCAGCAGACTGTGAAGGAGACAGGACGAGGAGTAGCCTGTCTCTGATGCTGCTGCTGCTGCTGCTGCTCCTGCTCCTGCTGCTGATGCTGCTCCTGCCGCCTCTTGGCGGCGGTCATAGTTATGCAAATGCTATGCAAGGATGTCACGTCCTGCTGTGACTTAAAGCCAGCCAAACACTTGCACGCACACATGCGACCCCAGTGGGTGGCTAAATTGTATCTTTCCCCAGGGTCTTCATACATATTTTTCTCTGTTTTTGCATATTATTCGCAATTTCTGTTTACTACTCGTATTTGTTTTTGGCTTTGCGGCATTATTTATGACTCCTGCCCAGGGCGGCAACACACTATCATAAAAAAATCACAGCACACTACGTTGACGAGTGGGTCAGACACGCCCACGCAGGCACACAGCCACACGCACCACATACATCAGTTAGTGTGTCGCCTATAAAACAGAAATGAGCTAAACATAAAAAAATTTTTACTTTTCATTTGCATAAGTACGCGGGGCACGTAATGCGTGAGAATTTATGCTTCTTGTATTGCTCAAGTGCACTATGAAACATTGTTTTTTATGATTATTATTAATATACCCTGTACTTGATGGGCGTCAACCAGATATGGGCGACTGTTGATAGTTAAAGTGGCTGGCAAAAAATTTCTACTGCTACAGCTGTAAAATTTATAGTTTACATATTCTTATCAAATTATTTAAGAGGTATTCGCTAGTCGCGTGGATTTTTACTGGTACGAAATATTGTTGCAATTACAGTTCGATTATGATTATGATAGACAGCAAAGATTCTGCATTAAATGGTCTTTAAATTTTTTTAAGGAGTATCTGTTAGTCGAGCTGTTATCTATAATATATATAACACATTATAACACTAGCTGAATATATAAATCAAGAAGTTTGCATCAGTTAGCCTTAACCACTTATAACTATGCCATCTCATGCTCTATAAACATTCCCCAGCTTTGCGCGGTATCTGCTAGTCATAACAACTCTAAATATTTTATCTTTCTTATTCATATGCGCGTGTCACGCGTTTGCGTAAAAATTTAATAAAACAAACATTCGCTCAACTCGTTGAAGCATACGCCGAAAACCCCTTTGGCTCGCTCCATGTCTAGCCAAAATAAATAAAATAGATAGCAAATGGTGAGCGTATACATATTTATGCGCCGGGGTGTATCTCTAGAGTGGGTATTTCCTCTGCTGGTGCTCGGTCAGCGACAGGAAATACAATTTTGATAAATGCAACAGCACAACGCGCTTCAGCACGATGGCCATCGACAACGCATTTCAAATTGGGCAACCAGCCACGCCACACAGCCCACCGCCCACCGCCCACGGCCAGAGTGCCAGCTTTATCTCTGGCGACATCAAGTGTCCTCCAGCTGAAACATTTGCGCCGTTTTTATTTGCTTGCGAACCGTTTCGCCTTCAACCGTTCGCTGTTATGTTTGTGATTTATTATTCAGGCCAGAAATTAAATTTTCTCTTTTTACAGCAGCCGTCGCCTGCTCTCCTTTGTGTATTTTGGCAGCCCTTTTAGTGTCACACCCACACACACATATATACATATATGCCGTGCCTCCTTGCTTAGTGCCACAAAATTTATTGTGTTGTTGCTGAATTCAATTACGGCGATGATAACCAAAAGGAAAAAAGGACAAGGCCAAAGCCGAGGCGATAGCTCGAGATGGCGACAGGAATCCAGACACCAGACTCTCCAGACTCTAGACTCCAGACAAGTGCAGTCAATGCCAAAGGGATTTTCAATATTGCATCCTTGAATGCCACACACACACACACACACACCTACACACTCCCCACACTCACACACGCATACGCTCTCTAAGCCTCGCAAATGTCTCAATATGAAAATGATAACCCGCTGCGTTTTGTCATTAACTTTAGCCTGTCGACTGCACTCGGCGAGCAAGGACAACGGCACAGGACGACAACGACGACGACGACGACGATGATGATGATGACAAAGGCAAATTCTAATGCCAAACTACACAAACAGAGGGCACAAAGGACATCATATCTATTTTAATGACATTTTGAAAGCTTCTCCCATAAAATATGATTATTTAAATTGCTGCCAAAACAGTAATAACCAAAAGAAAAACACGCCAGAGTGTAGACTAGGAAATGCTCAACTGCAAAATACCCGGAATACCATGCTGAGCGTAGAGAGAATGGAATGTGTGGAGCTCAACTTTGAACTATATATACTTACGGGGTATATACAACATAAGTAAAGGGTATATGATAAAAGCTCAATTAAGTAAATATATAGTATCGATAATTATCGAAGAATTTAATCGATACTGAGCTATGTGAGCCATGGGAGCTGCTGGTTCAAGTGTTTAACTTTTCAAGGAATCGCGAATATCGTACTTATGCATATTGAAGAAGTTGCCAGACTTCTCTGTTGCATACTTTCCAACAGTAACAATATACCCCATTTAAAATTTCTATAAGGTATACCAACTACTATTAAAATAACCATCTAAAGCAATTTCCGTTAACAGCATGCAAAAGTTTGAGTTATGCATATAAAAAACTACAAGTTTTAAAGCTACGCATATGACTAATTTAAAGCTAAAAATTTTTGGAGTGCATCATTACCTTGTGGTTTATTATTATCATTTTTCGCAGATTCTTGTGCTAAAAATAAAAGGTAGAAAAAACATATGCAAATTATAATTAAACATTCGTCGCAAAATAAAGTCAATTTTAAGCTAAGCGGAATTTAAGACTAGGTGGAATATTATCAATATAGATAAAAAACATGTGATTGTATAAATGCGTGAGATTTAGATTGAGCAAAAGCAAAACTAAGTAGTTCAATATAATGAGATTTTGATATATTGGTAATGAATTTATATGAAATTTAATATATGGTAAAAGCTTAGAAGATAAGAAGGTGCGAATTTATGTGGTATGATAGATTCTTAATTTAAATTCTATTTAAGGTAAGACTGTAATACTTAAGAAAAATAAATAACATAATGAAAGCAGAAGGAAGTAGTAGAGGCTGATAGACCTAAGGACTGAGCCAAAGGATTTTATAGATGAAGGAGATGGAATAGGAGATGCTATAGAGAAAGAAAAATGTGAAAAATATTTCTTTATCTATGTAAAGTATTTCTTTAGCCATGAAATCGAATGTGATCTGTAAACTCTTTTTCTAATTTTAAGCTATAGATAAACGACTAAATTACAGCCTCATGAGAATCACAGAGAGAGGCACTCTTTACCATTTAAATACATATATTCTAATCTAAGCAAAGCTCTTGATTATTTTATATGCATTTTCATTTCAGAGCAAAAAATTTGTCAATTTATGCAACAACGAAAACTGAATGGCTTAAGGGCTCATGGAGCAAATTGATGTGCAGAGCAGTGCGAGTCTGGTAAAAATATATATATGCAATTTAGACAAGGTGTTTGCTTTTTTCAGTCACACACACCCACACACACAGGTTATTATTGTGCGCATATCGATTTGTAGCTGAAAGTAAATCCACTCACAAAACAGCTATGCTATGGCAGCTATTACACGCTTGTTGGCCAACCAACGAGCAATACTCAAACTTTATCAGCTCTGTCTCCCTCTCTCTCTCTCTCGCTCTCTCTGCGTGTGTCTGCTTGCTGTTAACTTTGTGCACAAATAAAAGCATAAATCGCGCGTAATAATTGGCCAAAAAGCACATTTAATGGCTTATATACCGCGTCAAGGACGCGGCAAGGCAAGGACAATGGCTGCTGTTGCTGTTGTTGCTGCTACTCCTGCTGTTGCTGCAACAGTGAGTCGTTAAGAGATTTACTCCTTGGCCATATTTCTTTTCGCACTCGACTACACCAAGCCCTGGGAAAAGTGGTAAAGAGGTCTCTGAAATTTCGCTCGTATGTTGCCATATTATTGAATAAGAAATTGACATTTGATTAGAGATTTGGACGCTGTGTGTGTGTTTGGATCGACCCCCAGAGTCGAACTCTGTTGTGGCCTGCGGCCACGGCCACGGTTCGGACTTGGACTTGGACTTGGATCGGGCAGCATATCCTTTCGCTCATCACTTCCAATTACCGCTTATTTATTGCTTCATTTTCACTGGCAGAACTCACTTACGCAGCCCAAGGGCCAAGCCAAATTGATTTGTGTCCGTGTGTTTGTGTCTGTGTGTGTGTGTGTGTGTGTGCTTGGATTAAGCTGGCGACCGTTTGAGGATTTGTAGCTGAACTCTTTCCCGGCCATTACTTCTACAGCTAAGGGATTTATTAAGAGAAGCAGCAGCAGCAGCAGCAGCAGTTGGAGCAAAGGAGCAAAGCAAAACTGTTGCCGGTTGATTGTGTTTAATTACTCCAACCAAAGGACAGCCATGTCGAACATTGATTTTCATTTGCGATATAATGAAAAGCGTTTCCAATTAGAAACCAGCAACCGAGCTCGCTTGTTGTTGTGGCCTGCGATTGTTGTTGCTGCTGCTGTAGTTGTTGTTATTAAAAGACGAATCGACACGTACAAACAATTTGCGCGACGTGAGCCAAAACCCTTTCTTTTATTTTTTTTTTTTTTGTTTTTTTTTTTTGTTTTTGTTTTTGGCTCAAAGAGCAGATTTTTAATTGCAGCCAAGTCTGCTTGGCTTTGTTGACAGCAATTTGATTGGACGGCAACAACACATAATTACTCATGCCACATGTTGCACGCCACAAGAAGCGAGACGAATTTTGCCAAAGCAAAGGCCGCCGGGCAAAGGACTTCAATCAACGCTGTTAGCTTTAGGTGTGAATTGTGAAAAAACGAATTTGTTTATTTAATTAAAATTACTTGAATAAGTGAGGGGTGTGTGACGAGCAGACACTGAGTTATGGAATTGTTTGGGATTTTCTTTTGAAGTATGGAAGAGCACAGCAGGCAAATATTGTAGTTGCTTTGACTGAGCTGAAAATGCTGCAGGTGTAAGGCGCCATTGATGTTCGATTTAGCTATTAAGGACCGAGATATACTGCTGAGGATGCTTTATATTGACAAAGCAATTCTAATTGAAAATGTCAAGATAATTGACATAAACAATCTCGCAGTAGAGTCTCTCAAAAATGCATAGCTGAAGGGAATTACTTGGCGTTTCACAAAATAAATAATGCTGAATACATAAATTTAATATTTTTTAATTGTAGAAAATAAATAAATATTCCCAGAGCAATCCCATCTCAGCTTTGCTTACTACAAACAGCAGGTAATCTTTTTTCTTTTATAAATCTTTTAGGTATCAGGATCAGATGTATCAATGCAGGCATCGTAACAGTTTTTCGAGTGCTGCTGATTGTCTGTTTGGCAGCTGATGGATGTGGCTGAAGCGGCTTAAAGCTAAACAACAATAGCACTTTGATGTTTTCGTTCACGTTTACGTTTTCTAATTAACAGGCAAGCCGCAGGAGTAGAAGCAGCAGGCAGCAGCATCAGCAGCAGCAATCGCAGCAACGTCTGCCTGCCTGTGGAGTAGTAAATCCATCAAGTTTCGGGCATACACGTCCGCATGGTCCGCCACATCCTGCCGAGACATGCAGGCAAACACGCAGCAAAGGATATTACTTAACAAATTACATAAAATTACTTTTCTTGTACGTAACAGGCAAACAAAGCAGTCGCAGCAAGCGGGGTAGGGGAGGCCGGCACGCCTCCACAAGAAATCGCTTAACGATTACAGAGCATACAAACAGAGTTTTTGGCAGCGCAGCTGACAGACAGACAGACAGAGAGGCAGAGAGGCAGCCGAGCGGGCTAAGAGATACATAATATGCTGCTGTCAAGTCGAAAAATGTTAGGCCTCAGCTTGGAGTTAAGGGTTGTGAGGGAGTGGGTGGTGGTTGGTGGGTGGCTAGCTGATGGCGTGTGGCTTGGCTTGCTAAGCTTTTTCCACTTTTCGAGAAGCGCTGTTTGCGCAGCGCAAACAAACGTAAAACAACAGCAAAACAAAAACCCAAACAATTGGCGGCATCATTCATCATGAGCCAAAACATATGACAGCATATTTTATACAGCAAGAGAGAGAGAGAGCGAGAGAGAGAGAGAGAGAGAGAGCATGGGTGGGCTTTCCTTCCCCACACACAAACACATACACAGTCAAAATAAAGTTGATGCTAATTAAAAGCCTTGTCTGCTGCATACGAGCTGACAATTATGCAAGACGAGCAGGAGGCGGGAGGCGGGGGGTCGTCGGAGCCGTATCAAGTAACGCAATGGAAAGTCAGCTGTCGAGTTTCCGGTTACATTTAATGAAAATGCCAAACAATATGAATGAAAACAATACGCAACACCAAATAATGCTTGACATAGAGTGGGTGGCGGGGGCAGGCAGGTAACAGGCAGGTAACAGGACAGCAGCTCGCTGGCAGGTGAGGCAAAACGTTGACGTTTTGCTCAAAGAGGCCAACGTAAATGCAATTACTTACTAACGGAAAATTAGTGCTGCCATTGTGCATAAATTGCTCCACACACACACGCACACACGGGGCGTATGCTCGATATACGACTGCGCTTTTGTAGCCAGCTGCCACTATTCCAGCGCCTTTCCTCACCCTCTGCCCCCCCCCACTCTGTGTGTTAAAGTGTGCGCAAATTATGCTCATCATTGTGTGACACAATTAGCGCTGGGGCCAAGCCCGCAGAACGCATGAGGAGCGCAACTTAACCCTAATGGATGCATATGCCGCGCCAGCAACAACAGCAGCAGGAGCAGCAACAGCAGCAGGAGCAGCCACAGCAGCAGCTGCCTGCCACTCGGCAATTTTCTCATTTTTACTGCCATGCAAGTCATTTCATGCATGTGAAATTAGTTTATGTGCGCAATTTCAAAAGCAGTGCACAAAAACGAAAAAACGGGAAAGAGAACCGCCAAAAATTTCACACTAAACGTTGCCCATTATGCAACATTTTGTTGCATGCAGCCGCGCGGCGCACAGGTGCAGGAACAGGCAACAGCCAAAGCGGATAGAGCTGCTAGGCAGGCATTGCATCCGTCTTAACAGTTTCAGTTTAGTTTCTCCTGCTTTTTTTTTTTTGGGCCAACTGCATTTGGTCTTGTGTCTAAGCCTAAGGCGCTTTGCCCAACTGCAGACTGCAAATCCTTTATGCAACTGACTTTGCAGCGAGCTAAGTTTTTGCACAAGCGACAATGCAATTTAGATAAAAACAATGCAAGAGTTTGTTGTTTGGAAAAGGTTTTGCAAGTTTGGAATATGTTTTGCTGCATGTTTCCGAAGGGTGAAGAGTCAAGATAAGTGGGGAAAATGGGAATATAGGAAAAATTAGGCCAGCTATGTTAGCTTGAAACCCTCTTGGATTGTCTTGTTGCTTTCAGTGGGTTCGCTATATTTTAAGTTTCTATATTTCACTGACTCTATATATATAGAATGGCATAGCTTGAAAATAAGAGTTGATCGTTAGATTCCCTATGCTCAGTTCGTATAATCGCTCTGAGCGTCTCGGTTCTTCTCGTTATTGTTTTCTACTGAGCGCCTATGTTCGTTTGAGTATTGCTTGGAGAGCGACACGATTGATGTTCGCTCAAACGATCATCATTCTCACATACACCTGCACGCACACACACACACAATTCACGTAAGCAATTCAACACAAGCTCGCATAAATATCAATGCATATA